ACAGAAGAGTTCTTTATAAACGTAGCAAGGGATTACACATGCTTTCATTTCAAAAATCATACGTTAGATCGAAAGATTACTTTGAAAATAATTTAACGTGAAAAAATTAATAAAATAAAGAATATTCACTTTTGCTTTAAATGGAAATTATTATTTCTCGAATTTTTTTTCTCTACAGTGAAATAATATCAAAAGAAATTAAGAAAAGCAGTGATTTGATTATTAGAAAGATATCTGTTTAATTATTCAAAATATTAATGTACCTAATATATTGATTAATTTTCTGCCCTAATGTATTTATTTCCCACGTAAAGCCAGTAAATGAGAAAAGATATGCGACTAAAATAAAAATTCAATTGACACAGTATATTTTCTTGCGAACACGTGCGTGAAGCATACAATTTTAATTGTATCAATGTTAAAGAATCGACAGATCAAATTTGCAAGTTTTCATCGAACATGCACCGCTATAATGTTTTCTGCGATGCGCAATAACGCTCAGATTTTACGTGTGCCGGAACAAAGTATGTATACCGTGTGTAAGTTGCGTTCTTCCTCTGTAAATATATAGTTTTGCACCAGCTGCAAACGCAGCCGACCCGTCAGGATGATTTTGTGAATCGCTCATTCGACTAATCTTCGCCATGATTCGTAGAATCATCCCAGATGCTTTTGTCGTAATACTATCGTAAAAACATGTAAGTCTGTATCTGAAGAATTATACATTGTGCAAAGCACCAAGGGACACGGGTTGTCTCGCAAGAAAAAAAAAAAGAGAAAGACGAAGTATGCGTATATAATAAACATGGTTCTTCCAATAAACACACGTTCATTTTTTTCTTTTCACTTTTGTCATGTTTGAAAATTAGAACTTTTATATTCTTTCGCTGGAGAACACCTTTTCAGTCCACCATTTTGCTACTAACGGTGACTAAAGTCGCCTGAAACATAGTGTTTATTATTGTTAAGGCGATTGGGCTTGTGAAAGGGAACTGTGATGGGTTCAGTTAAGAAAGTAGACGCCGTGAACGCTGAAAATGGTGCGAAAAGCCTTTCCATATGAGGCTGCTTGACCTCAGCCACAATTGAGACACGTGATGGCGCATTATACGGGAAGAAATGTTTTATTGTTTTTAACAGAAATTTCTGCCGGTGAAATTATTAACACTGTACGAGACCTTTAATTAATTAGATGTTCACCGACCGTGTTGTCAAAGGAAATTATTGCTCGCTTTGAAAAAGTTTTCGGTTATTTGAATACTTGCGGCAATGTTCAAATTTATTGGTCCACCTTGTATATAGTTTCCACTTTGTTTATAGTGAAGTTGAGGTTCGTATATAAAGCTTTAGAAAGTCCTCGAAGAGTTAATAAACCTCACACTTTTCAAGTTTCGGTATAAATAAGATAGGTGGAACAAATATAGCGAGGTCGTAAATTAAAGCATCAAGTGGCGGTACAGCTTGATCTACCTGCAGCTAGAACCACATACGTCGTTCTGTTTTAGAGTCCGCACAATAAAGGGATGACAACTGACAACTAACAGTATTTTATGTACTATCGAACAAATTAAAAATGTTAATTAGCGTTTTTAATATTTAAAGTTTCTTTCAGTTCTTGACGCGTGGTAAAGCTATGTAACTAACATAGATCATTTGGCTAGCCGAATTTTAAGAACTTGGTAATTATTGGAAGGAGGCAGTGGATAAAGTAACGTAGGAAACGGAATGCAAAACGCAATTAGAGATTAGTAAAATATAATTATGATAAACAATACTGATAACGCTTTATCGCTTCGCAGGTAAAAGGAACACTCTGGCTATTGTTTTCCCTATTTACATATATGGTCTTCGCGACCCGCGCTCACTCTCTCTCACTCTCACGCACTCTCTTGGCAACTAGCATCCCTCGCATTCGCACAAACACACTCACTCGTGTTTAATAACAATGAACGCCGGAAGTTTTTGTCCTTCCGAGTTCGTTGACCCCGTTTTGCCTATTCGGATCGCAGGGCGACGAAAACGAACTCGACCATATGATCGGCTCACTCCAATCATCAACCTCCTACAGTAATAGAAATTGAAACAGACTACAGGTGTAAACGAAAACCATTAGAAGAATTTGAAGGACGACACAGCCTGTGCAGGCGTGGTAAATACATAATACGGCCCTGACTGAGGGTTCAGGTCCTTATCTTCTTATATTTCTCTCAATCCTCTTGTTAGAACACTCGAAATATGTTAACTTTGACTCCTGACCGATTTTACGAGCTCACTATATTTGTTCCACCGACTATGAGCGGCAAAAGTGTACTTCTGCAGATTTTTTGAATTTTAGTTGTTTTAATTTAACGAGTGGAGAAAGGGGGAGATTTCATTTAAGTAGCTTTCGTTCGTGTATGATTACAAAAATACTTGACAAATTTTTACTTTCAATTTGCCTAAAATTTAAACACTTTGTTCGTGTGTGCGTAGGCTTTTCTATTAAAGATATGTACTATTCACGCACGACTTACACGTCGACTTGGCCTTGTGTGAATGAATTGAGACACAAACACTTTCTTGGTATAAAATTTGTTAAAAGTAAAACGTAACTGAAGCGTTTTAACTGGACCGACAATGAGTGTCTCTACTAGATTATATATGTGTATGTTGGAAGATGTGAATCTAATTATTGGCACAGTTACAATAATGTAACTTTTTATATTTTTTAAATAAAAGTGTGTCTCACGGATGGATCACCTTAAAGAAGGTGTTCTACATTTTTTATTTAAAAAATATAGAAAGTTACACTATTATCTCTTTATTTTTCATAATGCCATTCTGAACATCTTTCTTAAGATGATCCATTCGTGAGACATGTCCTCAATTAAGAGCATCGTTTAGTGCACTATCGATGGATCATGTTGTCTTGAATGTATTAAGTTTATAAAACATAGTCTACTAAATGATAGAGAGATCTAAAATATTTTGAATAATTTTTCAAACGAATAAACCAATTCCTTATCCTAAAAGAATTTGCAATTTTCACCATTCGAATGACGAAAATGTCAAGTTAGGTGAAATGAACGATCACGGGGTAAAATGAAATTAATCTCACATGGTACATCTTTTTACCTTTTTCGTTCTTTACTATGCAGGCAAGTTTACAGATGTTAAAATGAAAGGACATTATTAAAGATCCCAATTTCTGTGAAAACATACTCGTAACATTGATTGATTTTCTATGGTACAAATACGAATATCGGCCGGTACGATTACTACTTGTTGTTTTTACGTTATTACGGTATACACTTATGCATTTCGTTTATTTCTTCATGCGTTATGTTTGTTTTTCTTACAGCGCATTATACCGTGTCTGGAAAATCAATTGCAAAAGTGAATGTAAATACAGTAGGACCCCCTATAACGCGGGAAATATAATAAAAATTAAGTTCCACCGACATTGCTTTTTGGGTCAAATTTAATTAACCCAAAATTCCAAAATTCCAAATTCAGAATTTGTACGTTCTCTTTTTTTATTTTCTTAATCGCGTTATATTGGGGCAGTAGCAATTTTTTGATCGCGTTATACGGGGTGTATTATAGAGTAGAACCTCCTAATATCCGAAAGTTTTGTTATCCAAAGTGCCTTTTCATACCGATATTTACATACAATCTTACTTACATTTTTCTGTATTCAGTCGAACAAAAGGAACGTAACTCTACATAGTTATTTATGTTAAAAAAATTATGTGATTCAGCAACCAAAAAGATATGGGACCCTTAAATATTGAAACAAAATGTCAATTTCGTTGATTTCCAATTGAATAAATAAAGTTTAATATAAAAAAAAGTGACTGTTCTATTATCCGAAAATTCCTTTATCCAGCCTCTTATCTGTCTCTCTATTAATACAGATACAGAAGGCTTTACTGCACTACTTGAAGACGTTCGAACAATTAAATGTTAATTACTTTTCTATTCAGAAGCAGCGGTTTGTAGGTTTTCTTTTAAATTGAATATTGAATGTTAGACAATTTACGTGGCGATCCTGCGACTTGTGACTGAGGTGATGTAGTGGACGTAGGTGAAGGCAAATCGGACGTTCTTGAATTCAACGGTATCTTCGGGGGTAGCGTGCTCATTTTGTTACGAGACTTTAAGTTTGGCTCTAGTGTTGCGTTTCCGCTATGTGGGCGTCCTGCACATCGGTAATACAAATATCAAATAAACGAATGTGATCGATATAATCGATACAGCGAGGTCGTAAATATTTAGGCGGCAAAGTATGTACACGCAATCCGTGCACCAAAACAGCAATTCGAGGGAGATAAGGAGCTCAATGTCAATTTGGAATTGCAGAAAAAAGTTTACCTGCATCTTAAGGGAGTATTCTGGTTTTGAATTTTCAAAAAATCAATTTTTTTTGCATTTGCTTAAAGTATAAGTATTCTAGAACATGTGTGCGAAAGTAATTTTCGATCTCTCTATATCGTTTCCACCAACTATATCTCGACTACAGCTTGAAGCCGGCTCAAGAGTTATTACAATGTATGAAAAATTAAATGTTTATTACTGTCACTTTATCTAAATGGAAAATTTTTTCATGGATCGACAAGATCTTCTTGATAAAAATGAACCAAAACACGCACTCAATCGGATTACAAGGATACATAAAAATGAAAACAGAAAATAACATTAATTGTTATTATTATAAACTATTTTTGACAAATTTGTTTTAAGAAATTCTCGTCAATCCCAAAGTATGGATTTATCTTTGAAAGCCGCGTCCGTGATTAATTTTAAATCTTGTATGTTAGGAACTCAGAATAGTTCTATTGAGGCCATGTTGAGATTCATTTTCATCGAAAAAATTTTCCTTAAAGCTAAGTAACAATTACGAATATTCATTTTTCATTTACAGATCCATTAACGTGAATCAAACGCGATTAATGGACACTGAAAATTCCGGAAATGACATTTCGAGAGGTAAAGCTCGTGTGTCGAAGTTTGCAGCTCTTTCACTTCCCTCTTAATTGACTCAGCATTCTTGAGAATATCCCAGGTGTGTTGTCTTCTGAAACTTTTTTGTCCTCGCTGTTCTCATTATTAGGATGTCGACGCAAAATGCGGCTTAGAGAACCTGCTCGAGGATGGAATAGCTTCTTCGGCGAGCCATCCTTATCTACCAGTTTCAGCATTCTCCCCAAGGAGTTGCTCTTCTCTTTTTTCGAACTTTCTTCGGTACAGCTTTCCACAGATTTAGTCGCGTTCTAGCAAAAAGGACTAGCTAATTTCGGAAAAATAACTCCTCTCGTGCACGAGACATTTTAACATTCCAGAGAAAAAAAAAATTTTTTATGCAAAACAGAACATAGCAAGATATTTTTCAAAATTTCAACTAGTACACGTTAAATGTTTAGTTATCGTAATTTTG